CTCAAGAAACCATCTTCCTTAGAGAGAAGACTGGATCCTAATGGGATCTCTAGAGAGAACAAAGAAGAAAGCTCAAGTATGGAAGAAAGCTGTGATACATTTCTCTCTATGTTTTGTAATGGGTTTCTTCACTGGCTTTGCTCCTTCTGGTAAGGACTCATTTTTCTCTAATTTCGAAACCACCTCTTCTGCTTCTACCAAATCTCATATANCCCCCCAACCTTTAGAAAACTCTACCTATACACCCCATTCCCTTGTCAATAGAACCTTGATCAGCTCCCAAGCCCCTGCTCCGCGAGAAGCCAAACCAGATACCAGATCACTCTCTGAGGCCGAAGATGAAGTAATAACACCAAGAGGTCTAGTAATTGTTGTAACTCCGGTAATGACGAATAATCATTACAAAAACGTTCTTCTTAGGCGAATGGCCAATACTTTGAGGCTAGTTCCACCACCTTTATTGTGGATAATCGTGGAGAAACATTCCGATGCTGACGAAAACTCTGCTAACGAAAACTCTTCATCTACAATGCTAAGAAAGACTGGTTTAATGTATAGACGTATAGTCTTCAAGGAGAATTTCACGAGCGTGGAATCAGAGCTTGATCATCAGAGGAACCTAGCGTTGCGACACATTGAGCATCACAAACTAAGCGGGATTGTTCATTTCGCGGGATTAAACAACATTTATGATCTTGATTTTTTCGACGGGATTAGAGATATCGAGTATGTAAATTAAACTAAGTGTTATCTCTAACTACATTTGTTCTAACCATCAATTATAATTTTTTTTTAAATATTTGTTTGTTTATAGGGTATTCGGAACTTGGCCAATGGCGTTGCTATCGGCTAATAGGAAACGAGTGATAGTAGAGGGTCCGGTTTGTGAATCTTCACTAGTAATGGGGTGGCATTTGAGAAATTTTAATAATGAGACAGAGACAAAGCCTCCGATTCATATATCAAGCTTTGCTTTCAATAGTACAATACTTTGGGACCCTGAGAGATGGGGTCGTTCTTCTTCTGTTGAAGGCACCAAACAGGTAAGTACTTGAGCTTCAAAGTTTTATCTATTCAATTTTATTTCTATAAGATTTGCTTGAAGAATATGTAAAATAGAGCTTGAAAATAGTTTGATTTTGATGGGTTGGTAAGTTAGCACAGCATGGTCATTTGAGTAGTTATTACTGAATTATTCTAACCAATCGATTCCATTAATTATTAGATTAATAGGCTTATTAGTTGTAATGGATGACCAGAAAGATCGTCTATGTATTGAAGTATAAGCACATAGTATTGCATTGGAAGGCTTACTTTGGTTTCTATGCAACTTTTTTTTTTTTTATCACATTTTGCAAATAAAGATTACATCAAAGTCATTTTACAAATTGTGGTTGATAGTAAGTCATATAGTGTGATTCCTTAATTTAAATTCAATTTGTCCTGGTATAAATGTCTTTCTTTCACAATATTTTTCATTATGCTTAATTATTTTTCTACTTTATTGTTTTTTTTAATCTTGCATAGGATTCGATTAAATATGTGAAGCAAGTGGTTTTGGAGGACGATACAAATTTGAAGGGACTTCCAGCACAAGACTGTTCCAAGATTATGCTTTGGCGTCTCAATTTTCCCACAAGAACACGTTTAAGCACCTGATCATTTGCTTTATTTTATTCTTAATCTCTTTCCAAATTAGACCATTTTTCGGATTTATATACCTCACAGAAAAAGAAGCACTTAAAGAGAATTAAAGCAGAAAAAAAATTATTGTTTATCTTTGGAATCTTGATTTGTCACGAAATAGAACTTGAGGAATTTTTGTGTGTGTTTATTCGTAGCCCAAAACTGAAACTAATAGAGATCACAATGAAAACCAATCAATTGTTGATAAAAAAAACCATACTTATTAGAACAAG